AGCTTGGCTCAGAGGTGCCTTTCACCACTAAAACTCAGCAGCTTTACCTGCTGACTGACCTTAACCAGGCAGCTCTGTGCTTTCAAACAGAGCACCTCTTCTTTAGCCAGGTTATCTGATGAAACTGAAAATTAGCATTAAAAGGTTCTCCTTTTAGCAGAAAAAACACACCTGCTGTCTAATGTAAATTGTAGCTGAGATGAAGCTTCCAAAGGATGCTGAAGAAATTTTAATGAATACTTTGTGGGACTGTAAATGGACTGACTTTGGGCACAGCAGCGCTTTTGAGAACACCTGAAACTTACAGCCTTCATCTGCCTGCTAGAAATGACTCGTTCTGGTGGTTATCCATAGCCTGCCTACGAGGGAAACCCTGCAGGTGGGACAGGGCTGAAGGATGGAGTGCGACCGTGATGGGACAGGGCTGAAAGTTCCAGTGATCCACAGTGGGACAGGGCTGAAGGACGGAGTGTGACCCACAGTGGCACAGTGCTGAAGGCCACAGTGACACCCACAGTGGGACAGGGCTGAAGGATGGAGTGTGACTGAGGTGGCACAGTGCTGAAGGCTGCAGTACCACCCACACAGTGACCCCCACACTGGCACAGGGCTGAAGGCCGCAGTGCCACCCACACTGTCACAGTGCTGAAGGCCGCAGTGCCACCCACAGTGGCACAGTGCTGAAGGATGGAGTGTGACCAAGGTGGCACAGTGCTGAAGGCCAGTGCCACCCACAGTGGCACAGTGCTGAAGGCCGCAGTGCCACCCACACTGGCACAGGGCTGAAGGATGGAGTGTGACCAAGGTGGCACAGTGCTGAAGGCCGCAGTGCCACCCACGCTGGCACAGGGCTGAAGGCCGCAGTGCCACCACAGTGGCACAGGGCTGAAGGATGGAGTGTGACCAAGGTGGCACAGTGCTGAAGGCCGCAGTGCCACCCACACTGTCACAGTGCTGAAGGCCGCAGTGATACCCACACTGTCACAGTGCTGAAGGCCGCAGTGATACCCACAGTGGCACAGTGCTGAAGGCCGCAGTGCCACCCACACTGGCACAGGGCTGAAGGCCGCAGTGCCACCCCAGCAAGGCTGCCCCAGCACTCACCCGCCGGGCCGCAGGTCGGGCAGGGCCCTGTCCAGCGGCAGCCGGTCGCTCAGGTAGGCGTTGTAGCCGTAGTACTGGAACTGCTTCAGCGCCAGCCGCCGCTGCTCGGGGCTCAGCTCCTGCCCCCAGTGAGCAAACAGCGACGAGTCCGTGAACGCGTCCGCGGGGTTGTCTTCCACTTTTGGTGGAGCTTCTGCGAGAGACAAAGACAAAAGGAAACAATTAAGATCTGCTGTTTTAAAAAGCGTAACTTCAGCTCCGTTTTCTGCCTGGAAGTTTTCCCACGACATGCCCTCACGTACTCTCGTGTAACTATTAGCATGTAAGGCTCAAAATTTAATAGTCAAATAAAGTTAGGTAGAAACAATTCTTTCTTATCACAACCTGAGTAAAGGCCAGGACTGATAAATCTAAATTAATTAAATTTCAGAAGAAGCCTTATCAGAAAAGAATATTATTTTGCTTTTATATACTAAGATGAAATATTTCATTCCAGCCTGGATTATCTTGCTAGGAAAAGACTGAAGTTTTGAAAGAGAAAAACAGATCATCTGTACATAGTGTACAAAATGCTGCCAAAGTCCATAAAGTGTAAAATAAGTTCTTTAAAACTACATATTCAACACAGAGAAAATTCACTGTACTAGGCATCCATGTTTAAATAGCAAACCAAGTTCAATCATGCTTTATGCTCCAGTTCACCAATCCAGCCTATTTGAATTCTGAGTCCACGTTTAGGTACATGTGATGAAGCTACTGGGATCATCACTTTGCAGTATTTGCGTGATTAGGAAAGGCTTTAATTTCACAAGGCCATATCTCTGGCTGCAATGCTAAACAGAGAGGAGGGGAAAAGATATACCCAGAATTCAATTTGAGAAGAGCTCCGGTAGAGTGAAATCCATCACAGCATTCATTCTCAATGTTTAGCTGCACAGCAAGTCTGAGATCACTTGTGAGCTCTCTGTGACAGACACACCACAGCTGACACAATCTAACCAAGAGAACCCCTCGTTTCTGGAAGCACTTCACAGCACACCGCTAAAGCAAGATCAAATGCCCTACTTGACTCCCATTTGTCAACATCAACTACACAGAGCCGCACAGAGAAATAATATCTTCTTTTTCTGGAAGTTCTTGTTATTTATCAACAGTCACACTAACAGTGACCCAACAAAATGAAGAACTCTCCTTTCTAAAGGGCTGTACTTACAAACACAGAGACTTATGAGAATGAAAGTGAATCTTGAAAAATCTATCAATTGTCCCCAAAGTCCTCCTCAGCACCCAGAGTCACCTGCAGGCTTGAGAGCTGACTTAAGCTTCATGGGAACACCAAAAGACAACAGTTTATATATCATAGTTATATATTTAGCAGAATATGCCATCAGAATCCTGACTCCCAAAGAATGCCAGGAAGCATCCTTTGATCTCCTACTAAAAAGAACCCAAAATGCAAAAACATAAATTGAGAAGACTAGGTTATTTGATTTGTTCAAGATGTTCTCCTTTTTTTCTCCTGACAACACTGACAGGAAACTAATGGTGCTTGCTTCCTACACTATGTTCCAACCTCTGTAAATATGAAATGTTGCTTTACTTGTCAAAGTCCTGTCTCCCAGCCTGAATTTGGGAACCAGCTCCAGCTCTTCAAAGATGAAAGACAAACTAAACCCTCCATCAAAGGAGGAAACTACTCTGACAGGCCCTGCTACCACACAGATAAATGTCTGAGAGAGGAGCTTGGCAACTCAGCACGTTGGATAAACTCAGATCATTTTAGAGGGTCCTAACTCGAGAAAGGCAGAATAGCATTTGAGTATCAGTTCAAAGATCCCAGCAGCATGGGAGGTCACAGATGTCTCTGTCTTCTCATGGATGAAGAGACATCCCAGAAACAACTGTCCTTCACAGACTCACATGGGTATATACTGAATTTTATCTAATGATCTTGTGGGTGAGAGTATTTCCTAAAATGATCTGTGAATCTCTTGCTGTTTTCTGATTGAAAAAGTGCTCAGTTTTCCAGGTTGTATATCAGTTCAAGATTTTCCAGTAATGGATATCTGCGAATTTAGTTTACAAGCTTTACTAAACCACTTACCAAATGCAGTGATTTTTTTGCACGCTAAGAAAACATGTTGTTTCAATACATTGCTCTACAGGAAAAAACCCACATTAGCAGGAACTTTCAATTACAATTCCAATCAATGGAATTCAGCATGCATCTCTGATGACAAAGCCTTTCTTTCCTTTATTTGGCTAAAAACCCTTGGGGAAAGCAACTTTCTTTATCCAGCCTCTCACAAGAAATAAAAATAATGATTACAGACCATCATCTGCCTTTTGACCAGTCAACAAGTGCATTTGATGCCTTGGCCTCTGCAAACAGGTCACAGCCCGAGTCTCACAGCCAGGCCTCCCTCCCACTCGCCCCACGCCGCAGAGTGATGGTGGGAGCAGAGGCTCAGAGGAGATCCAGGAGCAGAACTGCCTGCAGCAATACAGAGGAGGCACATTCATCTGCTCAGCTGGTACCAGACAGGAAAGATCAGTTCCATTTCTCCTGTGGGAAGGACGCTGTGGCACGTCACCCCAGCCGCTCTCAGGAGATGCTCCCTGCTTTAGCTTGACACACCGTGCAGAGCTGCACCCACTCCAGCCTGGCACCAACTCCTGGCACACTCACACCCTGCAGCTCAACCAGTCAGCAGCAGAGATTTGTTACACAGCTGCCTGCACATCTGGCCCAAAGAACTCTCCTTCATGAAGACTGGGCTGCTCATGGCATCAGCCTGGAGCTGGCCACACACTGCTCACCTGAGCCAAAAAACCCACAGTTTGTTTTCCAAAATCATCTCTGTCTCTTTAGGTCATACTCACATTTCCCAGTTATGCAATTAATGTTTCTATAAATCTATTGCTTCACTTGATCTCACTGACCAGCTGCCAAGACAGAAATTTGCTCTTCCTATTGCTTATTGTATAAAATAAGTCAGAGACACCAAATCAAAAGACACCACTGAGATAATAAGGGGCAGACATTTTGTAGTCTGATTGCTGCTTTGTTCTATGACCTCTGAAGAAAACAAATATTTCATTTATTAGCAATTAACACAATCATTTAATTAATAACTTTCATTTAATCTCCATGAAAGCCTCTGAAGCCCACTAAAAGAGACTCATTTTTTCAGCTCCATTCAGATTTCAACATTCTTCCGAAGAAAAGTTACCATGAATAGGTTCACAATTAAGAGAAAGGATCGAGTCAGAAAAGAGTTGCAGAAACAGTTGCCAAGACAGATTCAGACGTGCTGTTTGTTCTCTCAAGTACCTGAGTTTCATTCTGATCCATTTCTACCCCTGTTTGACTGCAGGTCTATTCACAAAAGCAGCAGCGTTTCACATCAAAGCTTTGCCATTGTGCAAATGCCTTCCATGGAAACAGAAGTGCTGTACCAAGCCTGCAGTGTAACCTCATCTGCTGGTTTCATTAGGTGCCAATAACAAGGAGGTAGATACAGTAAAAACACCCTGTCTGCACAACACCCCTGTGTCAGCTCAGGACACGCAGAAGGCATCAATACCTGCACTAAATGAAACAGCCTCACAAAAAGAAGAATGAGGAGGAAATGATGCCAGAGAGTAGGAGGAAAGGCTTTGATCAGTTCTCCAGTGCCTGAACCTTTGATTTGCCAGCGCAGAGAGGAAGGAACAGGCCAGGATTGCAGAGGTGATGCCACAGCTCTGCTTTGCCTCACTGTGCAAGGCAGACTCACCATGTGCATCTTAGCAATTATCATTAAAGGCAAAACAAAGCTCAGCTCTCTCATGAGGCCTAATGCCCTCAAACTCTGGCTCCCAGCACTCAAAAAATCTATATTCTATTTCCTGCAGGCAGAGCCTTTCAGCTTTCTGTGGAAGGAAGGATCTTTCCATCCTTTTCCTCTCCAGGTGCCCTTCATCTGCTCAGCAATCCATGCCCCCTCTCTGCCCTCTGGCCAGAGCCACTGGGTGTGACAGGTAAAAATCCCAGACTGGCATTGGTCACAGAGCCATGGTGCAGTATTTAGAAGGGTGAAAACTTCACCTAGACTTTGTCACACAACAAAACATACAGAGGAAAATTCCACTTTTAAAATCTATTGTAATTCATGAAAACACCTTATCAGCATTCTCAAAAATTGCAGTTTGACAATTCCTGCCTTGCAAGGCTGCTCCTGTGAAGGACCCTGCTACAAATCCTGTACCAGATGAGTGAACCTCTAAATGAAAACATCCTTGTTGGCATGGTGTGGTGAAACACCGACAGGCAGCAGCAGCTCACCAGGATGCACCACTGCATCAGCCATGGAGAGAAGTATACTCACAAGACAAGAATTGAAAGTTTCAGTAACAAATCTTCCCTCAAAATGGTTACTTTACTTATTCTCTCACCTCCCCAAAAAATCACAATACTGCTGGCAAGGTGTCAACATTAATACAGCTTTGTACTGAAAAGTCAACTTCACCCTTTTGAATATTCAAGTCAAGTTAATTCCTCTTAGCATTCTAGTCTTGTTCCCAAAGAAATTACTTTAGCAGAAGTGCTCCTAAGAAAGAATACAGTACCTAAGTGGGTTAAATCCTGCTTACTTACAGCTTAGTAAGTCATAGTGAAGTGCCAGGGCTCCTCAGAGAGACTGACAGAGCCTGTCAGACTCTGCACAGGCGACAGAGCAGCAGAGCCCTAACCTTAGGAAAAAATAAACCTGATCTGAACTACATGCAAAACACACACCCACCCTGAGAGGACTCGGCTCCATATCCAGTCTTTGCACACCAGACAGATCAGAGAGATGAGGAATGGAAAACACCCCAACAAAAGAAAGGTGATCCTCTCCTCAACAGCTGTCAAGTTACAATAACACTATCAATAGTATTCAATCAGACAAAACTTAAAGATTAAACTGTGCATGACAGCACATGCAGAAGGAAATGCCAAAAACTCTCTCAATCTTTAATTTTTTTCAGAACTTAAAATACAATTTATATGCTATTAAATTAGATGCTACCTTTACTGCATTTTAAGCAGCCAGCACACATACACAATAGTACAAGCCATTAGCATGCTACTAACATCTATTTTGTTTGTGTTTGGGGGTTTGTGTGTGGAATTTTTCTGGTGAATAACCCCATGCTTACTGAGCTATC